ACAGCACCACACAGCTACGTGCTTCTCTGCTGCCCACATTGTGCTTGCGCTCTCTGCCTGTCAGGAACACAAGACTCAAGGCTCTCTGGTTGTCAGTTCATCACTGTGGCTGAGCACTGAATTGCTATGAAAAAAAGATCCTGACCTTTCCTCAGCTGCATGACGCTATGCTTCTAAAAAGAACCCCTTAGTATGCGCTTCTTCAAGAAAATATGCTTTTTAGGGGGCCATCCATCAAAAGATGGATGGGAAAAAACAAACCACCTGTAAGCATTCCAGCTATCAGGCAACAGCACAATATGGGACCAATGCTGATCCACAGCTCTGAACAATCACAACAGCTCATTCACATGAAAAAGACAATTTGCAAAGACTCTTTCTGTAATAAAACCCGAGTGCTGCTGATGCAGGGAGGAAAGCACTGGGGAGACCAGTCAATGCGGGCTGTTCTAAAAATATCAGTTTGTGCTGTCATCTGGTGAGAGTATGTCATCCTGTAATCTTGGCATCTGCAGGGACAGCAAGTTTCTGCCTAATTATTGCTGCTGAATCACATGACAAAGCATGAGGCACTGAAATATATATATATATCTGTCACAAAAACAGAAGAACACCCAAACCACATGACCAGACCAATATCTTGGCTTCAGCCATCCTTTGCTCACAACACAAGTCTGTGGACAGAATTCTGTTCGTTTATAGACCTTTTCTCTCAGCTAATAAAACCCTAAGCCAAGAGCTTAGCAAAGCACTTCTAGAAGGAGCAAGGGACTCACAGCATCCATACATTGGCTCCCGCTGCCTTCAGCTGAGCAAAGGCTCAGTAGGCATCCTCCTGACTCACCTGGCCAGGCTTGGGAATCCTGCTACACACGGCTGTCACAGGTGACACAGAGCTTCTGAATCCAAGCTGGGAGCTGTAGGGATTGAAGCCCAGCTGTGTGTGAGGTGGCAGCAGCAGAGGCAGCTTTCTGTGCAAGGGAAAGCTGAAGCACCCCTGCAAGCATGGGACTGGCCCTCAGGGATTGAGGAGTCAGCTTGGGGCAAGTCCTCCTTGGAGATAATGGGACCCCTGTTCCCAGTGTAACACAGAGTTTTCCACACAGATATTTTTGTTCGAAGGCTGAGCTTGGTGTGAGTGATGTTTGGCGAGTCACAAAACCACCTTTCAAAAACCTGGGCTGGCTGAAACAACACTGAAACGCTAAAAGCGTGCCGCCACCTTAACCACTAACCTGTTAGAAATGGAGCAGAAGAATTTGCTCCTCTTGAATTTCCTTCCTTCAAGGTTAAAGCCCCATCTTGACTCCACACAGGAAACCTGCCAGCCCTGCCCAAGACCTCGTTTACTGAAGCTAAGAGAGGAGGAAGCAGGGCCATGGCCCTGAGGCCACGGGGGCAGTCAGGCAGCAGGTTCACTTGCTCTGGTCTCCACAGGTCAGCTCTAACAGGTAGAAATGGTTCCTCATGGTATGTTGTCTAGTCAGGGTGCTCTGATTCCATTGGGACAGACTGCACCCAAACAGAGATCTCTTCATGTGGAATAACCTTTTAAGATGTACTTTGATTCAACATTGCTATCCTCATACCTATGGATTTGTTTTTGGTATGAGTTTTGGTATGGAAATTAATAAAACAGCAAGCAGTCCAAACAGATACGGACTAGTGAAGTACAAACAGGCACTTTACTATATTTCCTGAGAATTTGGTTTATCAGAGATGTTAACCACCAAATTCTGTGAACAAATTCAGGACATCCATTAGTGGTTTGTGTGCTGTACTGCCACAGTAAGATGACTTGGGACTTCAGTGATGCTCGGGTTGAACGAGTGCCTCTAAATGCTCTGTGCTGCATTTTGCTTCTATTTCCAAACAAGTCAGCGTGGCTTCAGCACAACTCTGCTGCAGCGCCCAGAGGGATCCAGCTAAATGGCACATTAAAACCTGTCCCAGAAGATGCAGCTCGATGAGTTTTGCAGGCAGCAAAACCAGCTCGAGAAGTTCCTGCCCTACTTGCATGGAGCCGCCCTGAACCCCTTCCAAGCCCTGGCAGCACAGCTGGCTGTGGGGCTCTCCTGTAAGCTGGATCACTGAAGAAACAGGTAAATAGAGCTTCTCTGGGGAGTTCTGATGCCACAGGAGATGCTGCTAAAGTGATCGCTGATCACCAGCTCATCACATTCCAGGCAGCTGTGAAATTTCCCCACTGCCCTCCCCATCAATTTGCTTGAGGTTACCCTTAGCAAACACCAAATCCCTTCAGCTCCACTGGTTGAGAAGGACACAGAGCTATGCACCATGTGATGGGAACACTAGCAGAACGGGATGTAAAAACATGAGGTATCCTGGAGAGAGGTTAGGGAATAGCGACTAGATGACCTCCAGCAGTCCCTTTCAAACCCTTATGATTCTATGATTCGTATATTGACAAGAAAGCAGAAAGAACAACCCAATGATTATGTGTGTGGGTGGAGGTCAGATACAGTGCTCTTGGGAAGTAAGCGCAGGTAGGGGGAACAGAGGCCTCAACTAGCTTAACAGGGGGGAATTATGGCTGCATGAATGAGGTAAGAACAAAAGTATATTGATTTCTCCTTTCTTTCGTGCAAGAGGAAAAACCAACCAACCAAATTCTATTACGAGCACCAATTAGGGCCTGCTGAAAAGCTGGAAATGGCAAAGAGCCAGCGCAGTGGGAGCTGGTGAACATGCAAAGGCTTATGTGCAGCCAATGGCTACAGACACCTATGTCATCACGGTGGCATAGTCTGCATAGGCATACTTTCCCTTGCCCAGTGAACAGAATGTAGTTGATTTTCTTTTAAGGAGAAGGAAGCTGACACAGATGACTGGTCAATAATTCACTGAGGAGAGCCATCCCCCAACAACTCCATCCCCCAAAATAAGACTTCTCACCCACACATGTATGGGTTCCTCTCCTCTAAGGCACACCCTGGGAAGGACTGGGGTGGCCATGCTCTCCCTGTGTGGCACAGGATAGAGTCAAGAGTGGGGAACTGCCGCAAGGAGGTGGCTGATCCTGCACCTCCCTGCTGCTTCTGTGTCTCCTCACCACCTTCTATCCTCACACAGCACATGACTGTACTGAAACAGGAAGTTGCCTTATTGTGTGTCATACAAAGCTGTCAATTACATCTCTTTTTTTAAGCATATTCTACTGCTGGATGCTTCACCTCGGACAAAAATGGGTTTCTAAATTCCAACAGCTCATGCACTTGGAGGAGGAGACAACAAAGGTGACCTGACGTGAGGTTCTGCTTTATGGTTCGTGAAACACTTTTCTTTTTTTTCCCTTTTCTTTCTTAAATGATCAAGTACTGGAACTGAAAAAACAGAAAGACTCAGCTGGCACCCTAGCCTTGCCACAATGCATAGACAGTGGAATGCAGCATCCTCTACAGCCCACCTCCCAACCTCACCCTGCAGTGCTCTCCTTTCCAGAGTGATGTGAAAGAATCAGAGGAAATCATTTGCCTGGAAGAGAAAGTACTGCACAAACCACCGACTCCACTGGAGCAAGGAAGCTTTGCATAATGGCTTCACCAAGAGTCCTGAGCAGTTTTGTCCTCCCTTACAGCCAGCAGATCAGCACACGTTTTGGGGGTACTCCAGAGACATAGGGAGATATTCAGAAGGCTTACCACTGCTGTTCACATACTGCAAAACTTCCCCCTGAACATTTAACTGTGAAACAAAGGATGAAAACTCAATTAAAGATTAAAGGGTCACCCACTAGCAAAGTCAAAAGACATGGATTCTTTCTTTCCATCCCTCTCCCAGAAAATAAGAAAGTTGGAAGTAAGCTGCAAAATGAATGAATGCCTGAATGAATGATACTCTACACACTGTTCTGAAGTTTGCAGAATACTTTCAATAATTTATAGCCAACCTTTTATCCTACTATATTTTGAAATCTACTCCCTTATACTAATAAATAAACAAAGGAGAAAGGGCATTTTGATGGAACTTATTCCTTGAGTCAGCGAATGTGTGTCTAAGCAGGCAGAGACTATGGGTGGGAGCCCACAGAATCACAAAGGATGGCAGAAACAATGTTTACAGGTTCAGATGCCCCCACTTGCAGCTAAGTACTGAAAAAAAAACATAGCCATCTGGAGAAAAATAATGTGAGGTAGCTAACATTTGAAAAGCACCTATGTCAGAAACCAAACTTAGATATTCTCTTGGTGAAGTCCAAAAGGAAATGATACCTACTCTGGTCTTGTGGGGGACCAACCATTTTTCCAAAGTTCCAGCACTTAAAACAGGATGTTCCTGCGACCAGGATCCTACTTTTGTTACTTCAAAATATAATTCCTTGATTTGCTACCTTCTTTTTTTTTTTTTTTTTTTTTTTTTTTTTAGCAAGAATTACATTAAAAACAAAAAAAACAAAAAAAAACAAAAAAAAACCAAGCAATTGCACTAGCATTACTTACTATAAACAGCAACAAACTATTTTAGTCCAGCTCTGCAACATACACTTGGCTAAGTGTATGTCACAGTGGTGCAAGCACTGATCTTGCAAACTCTTACTTCTCTCAGCAGTAGTATTTCTCCACTGACCACAAAGCCCCTGCCTCATCCCTGTGTAACACAGCTTAGCTACGTGTGGCATTGGCTGCAGAGAGGAATCCATTTGTTGCGACTTCAAAGAAGACAAACCAGAGCTCTCTGATTCCTAAAACCCACAAATATTCCACCTTTGTTTTCCTGATTTGTCATTAACATTTCTTATGTCTAAATTAAGAGGGACACAGCATCAGATGCGTGCTGACCGTGCTACAGCTGAACAGCTTTTATAGTTTAGCCTAATTTCCCTCCACACCTCCCAGTTTTTCTTGGTAGTGCCTGCTGCATACCAAAACATAGCAAGCCATTGCAAGCCAAATTAATATTATTAGTGTGCACTGACAATTAAGTGGTTGGTGCAAACTCCAATAAAACCAAGCATTTTACCACATCTACAGGGCACTGACCTGTTTGCCCATTTTCCCTGTCCTCAAAGATCCTTCAGCCTGGTACCCAACTCTGTGATGAAGCCTGTTTAGCACCAGTGAAGTTCCCCACATTCAGACTGACAACGTTCTGTGCTGAGATGAGGGAATCAAAGTTAAAATCCAGCCCATCTGCATCCATGAGTTCACTGCGGATGATGGACTCCATGTCACACTCCAAGCTCCCATTGAAAATATCCAGGTCTAAGTCACTTGGGAATTTCTCGTGTCCCATGACCGGAAGGTTCATGCTAGAGGAATACAAAGAGGAGCCTGAGAGAGGGTCAGAAAGTGTTTGCATAGACTGATTGACAGGTGACTGCTGATGTTTGGATCCCAAGCTGTTGGAGTCATTCAAGCCTATGTTACTGATGGAATTGGACAAGGCACGGCTGCCGCTAAGAGGAGAGTTGTGAGACTGGTGCTGGTGATGGGGCAGGCTCTGATTGACCAGACCGCCCTGACTGGACTGCGCAGCAAACGACATCATGGGGTCATTGCGGAGCATTATATTCCTGCGGGAGTTCTGGGCGGACACAGCTGTGCTGGCCTGGGACATGAGCGGGTCAGACTGTGTCATCATGACATCGCTGTGACTAAGTGCATCTGAGGCGAGCAGATCCTGCAGCGTCTGGTTGTTGTAATGAGAAATGGAAGAGAAGGTAGCCTGCTTGTTCTCCTGAATAGTCTGCATGGGCGACTGACGGAGGGAATTCAGGGACGACGGCCCAAACACGGCGTTGTTGAAACTACTCGAGGGGGAGCCCAGCCCTGAACCTTTGGAACCATACGGAAAACTGGAGCTTCTCTGCATTATCCCTCCCGTGGGCGACTGCTGGGAGGAAGGGAGTGTTATATTGTCCAAGAGGTCATCCATGAGGTTATCTGTCAGTCCATCATTCAAATTCATTGTCCCAGCCATATCAGTCAACCTAGGCAACTCCACAGTGCATGGTTTGTTTACGGAGGGGGACAAGCTTGAAGGACTACTGTACAGCATGGGAGAAAGTGGAGCATCATCATCTTGAACATCATCCAGCTCGGTGCTCGCCAAAATCGGTGACAAGCGGCCACTTATTGTACTGGCGTTTGAATTTGTCCGGGAGCGAAAATCAGTCCAGGCATCCAGCTCGTCACTGCTGCGGGAAGTCGGGCTCCCCGGCCACTTGGAGAGCTGCGAAGGGCTGTCCTCACTCGCCTCCTGAGCAGTCTGCAGGGCTGCCTTTTTCTTCGCCGCCCGCCCTCTGCTCTTTGTGTACTTGTTGCTGTTGTCCATGGACACAGCACGTCTCCGGGGCGCCTTGCCAACTTTTCCACCATCCGGATTGATCATCCACCAGGAGCTCTTCCCAGTGCCTTCATTCTGCACCCTGATGAATCGGCTGTGGAGCGACAAGTTGTGCCGGATTGAATTCTGCACGAAAGGAAGAAAACAACATGTCAAGACCAGCATTCCTTTTGCTACCCCAAATCTCAATCACAACACCAACATCACAGAAAAATGACATGAATCAAAATGCTGGGCCCTCCTGGACATCACCATGTCTTCTTGGGTGATGGAAATAGGAAGGCTGGAGCGTGACAGCACCTTGCCGGTGTGCTGCTAGTCAGCAAGTGCTATGCATGCACTAGCTGGGCATTCCTGCTACTTACCCTTATACCCCAGAAGCTGCATCCTAAGGAACAGAGCTTGTAAGAAACTAGAAGAGACAGCTGGGAACATCAGAACAAGGGAACAGAATGTCTAGCTCCTCTTTGCCAAGAACCCCCCTCTCCTGGGATATGGATGAAACCAGAGGCTGCTGCTCATGCCCTTAAATCACTCAACAGTACCTGACTTGAGGGAGCTGCATTTCTCCCCTTTCAACTCAGGACAAACCTCTACATTACAAGCAATCTTGCCATCAGCTCCACGAAACAAAACGTGCAAAGTCATTGCCGAAGTCTAACTGGAGTGGTAGTCACACTCACTGCAGCCTTGGCAAATGTCTTTTTAATTCTTCATCAGCATGTGTGTTTGTGTATTTATTCTAATTCTTGAGCAAACTGCATGTGCCGCTGCTCCTCTCCCACGGGCACACTGTGCATAAGCTGCGCTTTCTCTCTTGATGAGACACACCAGAATTATGCCTGTACCACGGCAGCCAGCCAGCTGTCCCCACACTACGGTATCCTCACAGTCTTCAAAACGTGACGTGACACAGCACACAGTGATACGCTTGTCCCTGTAAGCTGCTGTATGAGGCTGCACACAGTTGTACGCCCCACGCTGCACGCGGGGAGGTGCATTCACAGCCTTGCTCAAGTCAGCAACATCCCCAGTCTGAAAGCCACACCAGCGATCATCACCCCAAACCAAGTGGCAGAGAAAACCAGCCCACAGTAGCCCTAATGAAACTACACCAGATTCATACAGAATAACTGAAATGAAAATCCCACTCTGCTCAACCTACTGCTGCTGGGCTTAAAATACAGCTCCAAAAAGGATACGCAAATAGTACTGGCTATTGAAATGTTTCCAGAGGACTGGACTTTTTTTCTCATGTGTAAGGCAAATATCTTTGGAGCGATGCCATATCCTTTTGACATAAGTTTAACGCAATTCCTGCACGTTAAAGATGATCAAGTTTAAAAAGTTGAATGAGGTGGTTTTTTGTTTTTGTTTTTTTTTTTTCTTTTTTAATTTTGGCAAATATCAGCTACAGAGGATAAAATTACATTTGTTCTACCAGCATGCTTTAAAAGCATAAAGTCAACAGGATCATAACACTGCCAATCCATCTGGCATAAGCATCCTTCATTTACAAAGCACTGAAGAAATTCCAGGTTTAAGTGGACAAAGAATGTGTCAATCAACAAATCATTCGCAAGCATCTCAATGCTTGTAGCGCTGGGATAAATGGATGTTTGACATAAGTGAACTGGAGACACACTGGATGTATAAAGAAAAACAGCCCAGCTTTTTTTTTTTTTTAAACAATTCTCAGTATAAGATGCCTTTTTCCCGCTAAGTGTTGTGGTTTTTGTCAGATTGTGAAATGGAAAACACGCCTGAAATTCTTCTCACACGCAGACAGCAGACGCATTTGTGATTATCACTTAATGAAAAGAGAAATCATATTGACTACAGTTCAAAATAGCAACTGCTTTGTTTTAAACAATTTGCACAGAACGGCAGACAAGGCTTTGCAGACATACTCGAGACAAGTTTGGGTTAGCGTTTCAGCTGTAAACTTGTCTACTTCCAAGAGACTATAATGCCGTTATAGTATGTTGGACTGAGGTGCAGCATCATAGTTCTTCAGTCTAAGGAGAGAAAGAGCCTATTATTGTTTAGCTGTTGACATTTTAAATGATATTTTGAGCCTGATAGAAGTCTGCTTCTAATTTCAAATAATCAGACACCACTGCTAACTTTCTCAGGTTCTTCCCAAGTGCCTGGAGACTGCTGACTGTTTTATTTTGTTGTTTTTAAATCTTTCCACATATTCCAGTTTGTGCTGCTTTAATTCAGGCTGCTTTTATATTCATCCATTGTGGCAACTGTATGTGAAAATATGGGGATCTCTCCCAGTGGCAGGATTATGACGACCAGAGCTAGAACACCACACCAAGCACTGTAATGCACTCAACCTAAAAATGCTGGATATAAGCATAAACAGCACAGTAATAGCTACAAATGAAAATACATATATATGTATCTCAAAAAACAGAGAAGAAACACCCGAGGTGGGACACGCAGCCTGCCACATAGCTTCAAACATAAAGACAGTCAGCCAAGAGCCAACAGCTAACTTTGCAACCTTTGGTCTTCTCATGAATTTCTGCTGCACTATTGTAACATCTGGTCTAAAACCAGGCAAAATCCTAAATGGTCAGTTGGTAAAACTGTAAAATTGAAGAGCATTTCAGGATGAGGGCTCTTCTATGCGCGCATATGTATGCACGTGTGTAATTTTCTTATTACAATATCTTTTTGCTCACTGTTGGTATTACAAAAATAATAGAAGAGTGTAATAATACTTTTGCACTGAAAATTGGTGGTTACGAAAAATCCAAGCAGTTTGTTTTCCTTTACATTATGCAATATGCCATTTATGCTCCAGCTTCTGTTTTTCTTTACTTTTCTCCTGTAGGAAGACTGTTTTCTTAAGCATAATTATGGGCCGATTTATTTCTGTGCACCTCATCTCCACCCTCTGTTCAAACACTGCCTTAAAACCCACTTCTTTCATACAGCCTCCCATGCTGACCTCTTCAGCAACAGTATCTCAGTTTTTGGTTTCTCCATGTGTTGGGTGCCCTGCCAAATCAAATTATGGCTGGATCCTGTTATCCTTCCACACATAAACTTTGCTAGAGAAATCACTGAGACTCAGAACTCACAGGAGTGGAAGCTGTTGTGCTGGGCTACAGGGCTGCAATCTGGAAGGAAATAATTGGGCTACCTGTTTCTGAACTATCAGAGAATGTTCATGACTGCTTAAAATATAGGATAATCCTGTGGGACAACTTTTTCTCACAGGGATGTGCATTAGGAACACGACCTTGCAACACACCACAGAGGAACTGGGGAAGCAAAGAAAGTACAGTTTGTGATTTGGACCCGCTGCTGCTCAAATTAATGGGGATTTGTCTCCAGCTTATTTGGAAGAAAGATTAGGCCACAATGACTGAAACAAAACACATTTTTCCACACCAAAATACAGCAAGAAATTTTAAAAGATCTACAGAGGAACGCCCATGAATCTGTCCTGGAGACCATATGTACATGGGACAGATGCTAGCCAGGCCGCAGACACCTTGGAAAGAGCTCAGATACCAATGATGGCTACAACATGAGGACAGCACAAGAGCAGAGCAGAAAAGAAATATGATGAGCTCCTCCCTTTATTAGCGTTACTATTTATATTCGACTTGAAGTAAGCTGCATGCCCTACCAAGACCGTGATTCTTGCAGATAAGATCAAGAGCATACCATACGGTGCCCAGCTGGGTCCCAGCCCGTCTTGAAGGGGTCCTGCAGAAAGGAGTTATTGTTCCTGAAGACAAGGAAGACCCAGAACAGAGGAACACATGAGATGGGGCAGATGTGGCAGGAGTAGAAGATGCTGCATGATGGCAATGTGGCTATGCTCAGCTGCCAACTGCTGAGAGGTTACTGCAAATTCTCATTTAAAAAAAACCATACATCTGTGCAGAGTATTACATGCCACTAACAGATGTCAGGTGGTGTGCAAGGCTGAGAGGAAGATGGACAGGCAGGAGTGTCCCTGCTGGGGAGGAAGGAAGCTGAACATGAAGGGGGCAGAGCAGGCAGAAAGGGGAAAGGAGAGGGCTAAGATGTTTGGAGAAGGGGACAGCAGTGAGGGGGAGAGGAGTACATCCAGGCACAGCAGAAGGGGAAGGCATTACAAGGCTGAGCGACGGTATCACTAGGGTGGGCGGTGGAGAAAGGGATGGCAGTGAGCCCTGAGCAAAAGGCATTACGAGAAAGGGTGATGGCATGCCCACCACCTCTCTTGGTATTTTGGTACAAGTATGAACATATAAGCTCCCTGAGATGACATTCAAACATTTCCAAGGCGCCAAATACCCGGTTTGCTGCAAACTTATAAATGAGTCCCTTGGAAAAGCTTAGGCCATGCGTTATTTCAGTACGCAACTGTGGCCAGGCCAAAACAGCAAATGCTCAAGCCTTCAAAACAGAGAAAATCCCCCCTGTTCCTCCTGCCCATGTCTGCTTCAGCCTCTTCCAAACTGTGTTTACCTTGTGGAGCCCGGCCATTAACTCAGACACCAGCTGCAAGTGCTTCCACTGCAACACAGAGTCTTTTTTGTCTGGGAGCAACATGTGGTATCAATTTATCATTCTCAACAACGCCACAAGGAATCTACTCACTTTAAAAATAAAAAGAGAGTTGTGTAACTTAACTCTTAAAAGCCCCTGCTTTAAGGAAAGAAAAAAAAAAAAAAAAAAAAAAAAAAGGCTGAAGATTAGCAAGATGAGGTGCAGCTGGTGGCTGCTGGGTCCAAGTTACACACTGCTGTTTTCATTTTGGTGTTCTGAAGTGAGTGGTTAATTTGTTATTTCAGATACAGGCTCCTAAACTGTAAGATCGCTTCCACAAATCAAGAGCAGTGGTTTATTTTAACAATTGGGATACTGCGAAATGATGAGAGAAAAACAAACACTATCTGTGGACCCATAACTGCTGCTAACGCTCACTTGGGAGAACTATACCTTATTTTACACTTTATAAACATATTTAACACTCTGACTTCACCACATGAAGTTGTCTGGTGACCATGCAGCCGGGCAAGGCTCAAATCTAATGCCACTGGGGAGAAGCCATGGAACTAACAACTCCAGCTTACTGCAAGCTTCCCAATGGCCCCACTTGCTTCTTTGAC